ATGTATTTGCATGTTGGACCAGACTAACGTGTAGCAAATGCTACCACAAATACCATTCACACCCATGGAACGATAGATCAAGGTCTTTTCTGCAATCCATTCGTGTTCTGAAACTCCCATTTACCAAAAAAAAATATCGTTTATAACTACTATAATGCTGAGATATTTGCAAAACTCCGGACCGCAGGTGTCTGCGGTGTGGAACGAGCGCGGTATTGTCCTTCCCGCGGAGTAACGCATTAATAACGTTCAGACGTTGTTTCTTATCACATAAAGGATAAAAAGATAAAGCTCTCGGCGTTGACCAATCCCTGAGGAATGCGTCATGCATTCGACTTTATTAAGCATCGTTTGGGGGTAATTGAATGCATATCTGTCCTTTATAATGACTAGCGGTGGCCCACCGATGTATCGAGCCAGTGCTGCTATCCTCTCAGACAAGTCTGGTACCAATTTGCCGACCCCAGAGGGATGCAAGGCTTGGTGAGCCAAGGGAGCGGGTATCGATTCTCCGTGAGTGTTGCAGGGCGCCTCCGACGACTGTGCTACAAGTGCCCAGTGCTAGTACATCGTCATGTAATGTGTTATTTATTTATAGATTTGGATGCTGCTTGAGGGTTTTGCTTGTCTCATGAATATCTCTGAGTATTGGTGGAATTGATTTTCCGTAAAGTCCTGGGACAGCATTTCTAAGACGCTCCCACGTTCTCACCATATAGTTTTCAGAATTTATGAATTGGAGGGAACTTTTCGAAGACAGTCCTGGTATAACTTATATAACCTGGGTATGAGAAGGAAAAAAATAAAGAAAAATTGGTTAGCATGAAGCGGAGTAGAATCGGAGGCCTTGCGTGTGTAGCACAGTATTTCTTTCTGCTGTGCTTTATGCTCCTCGCACATGTAATCTGGAGCTATAGGTTAATAATTGCAGAAAAATGTCTTGCAGGCCAATAGAGCGAAGCGTGGTTAGATGTTATCCTGCGACATGCGGCTCCGTTCACTTTCTCGGCTGATCACTCTAGTGAATAAGGACCTCGACATTTTCTTGGAAGTTCAGTTATAAGTAAGCTACTGTCAAAGCCACGAATCGAGCCGTTGCAGTAGAAGACAGGTCACAAGGTAAAGGTTACTTCTCAACAATCCACATAGACCACACGACTCCTAGCTGTGGTGCCAACCTTTCACAGAGATGTGGAAACTACTATCTCTTCCAAAGTAGATTCTAGGGATAACATGTTTGCCATGAATGGTCTCCGATTAATTGGGAGGAAATTCAGCTGATTTTTTGTCATCTGTTTTTCACTTTTGACGCCTGTAGCTTTTTCTTTTACAATTGTATGAACCAAATCTGCTTTGATAGGTAATAAGTAGTTCTTCTGCACAGAGAGCTCCATTGGACCATCTCTTGACGTCAATTTATTGGTTTTCTCAATGTAGACATTTATGCCGACAGTATGACACCGATACTCACAACATGTAATATTTCTTAAGCTGAAATTAACATCACTCAATATAAACATGACACAACATAGAACAACACAAACGTCGAGATGTTACTTGTGCGCAACTTGCCCTTTGCCAGCTGAACCTCGGCCATCATCAAACCAGTTAAGAACATTTCAATGTTTTTCATGCGAGCCGATTCACGAGGCTTACATGACCCATCTTCACGTCTATCATACAGATTCTATACTTTTTGCACTCGAATGAATTCCTCGTATCTATCATCTATGAAGGTTTTCAAACACTTTTCATGTGTGTTTGGTTTGTGCTTAGGGATTTTCGTCTTCGTTGTGAATTTCACTAAGTGCTGGTCGAATGGATTATTCCCGGAGTTCTGGGATATTTGTGCTATGGTGTTATGATGTGGACTGGAGAGAGTGAACTAAGTCCATGGCAACTATGATGCCAATTTCCCATCCCCGGTTGGTGGGGCACTTGTTGAGCCGGAAGCCGTGTAGAAACAGCACCGATGGTGAACGCCATTATTACTATTGCGCTACTCTCACCTTAAGTTTTCATTAATGACGAAAAAAAATCTTTTTTGCAAATACCACTTCGAAATCGATTACTAGTAGTAATTCCTATGAAAATGCCAGCACCAGTGCCAACTTGCCTCTGCAAAAATTTTCTGAGGACTACAGATATATTAACTGAGCGTTTTTTTTAATGCTTCCAAACAAATCCTCGACCATTCCGTGGACCCCATAGGGATAAGGGAATGGTTGGCTCGGCTCGCTGGATCGAACCAGTGACCATGTGCACATTGCACTGCACCACTAACTAATACGCTCTATCTCCTACATGAAATGAAGATGGATGAGATTAAGAAAGCAGCAGAAGAAGAGCACGACACTAAGAATGAGTTGATTTCTTTCTCATCAAATCATATCTGTCCATTCTATAGCTGACCCCCTATGATCCACTTTTTCTTAATTTTACGCAACCCGTCTTCATCTATGTGAGGATCCCAGCACTTCTTGCATTCGATTCATTTCCTTGCACCTGTCATGCACGAATATCTTCAAAACTCTCGAATGTGGATTCGATTGTTGCTTGAGGATTGTCGTTCTTTATGAATGGCGTTGAATGCTGCTCGAGTATTAACCCTGGCGTGCCGATGTAGCCGGGTCTAGAGCGTTCCTACTGAGTCTGCAGGCACTGAGCTGTTCCCGGACAACAGTGATACCAGTTTTCAGAGCCTTGATTAATGAGGAGCGTGGCTGTAGTCTTGAGTCCTTATAACCTAGTAGAAATATGTCTGTTAAAGATGGGTGACAGTATTTGTTTTTTATGTCGCGAATAATTCTCACGAATGTTTTTTTTTGAGGTCTTTTGCATTAGTAAGAATCGCCTGCATTTTCTGCTCGTCAATCTGCCAGTCACGTCAACGTCACTGCTTCTTTCCATGTCCAACAAACTCATTTAGGTAGTGAGACAGTCAACACATTGTCCTTGCAAATGAATTTCATTTCATGTCTGGCTCCATAATTGCAACGAAATAGTTAGCGGTTCAGATTGATGCAGAATATTAGCCACGCGGGTCTTTTAGTTTTTGTGTTGATCTACTAGCCTCAAACTTGGATAATTAAACCTTTAATACATGAATACAACACTAACAACATAACAGTAACGATAGAGCAGTAATGGTAGAAGAATGACTCGAGTTAGAGCTCTGAGGTGCTAAGGCTCGTAGTGAAGTGAGGCTAACAACGAGGCAATGGCATTAAAATATTATTATACCATTTATACGATATTAACAATAATAATTAATGATTACAAAGAAGTAACTGTTGGTTAGCCGTGAGCGATGCCGCGCCGCGTCTATCCGCGGCCGGTGCGGCGGCTGAAGGAGACAGTATGCTGGGGCGGAGAAGGTTACAGACTAGCCGTGTTTTCGGCTGAGCTACGATTTCAACATTATAGCGATAAGGTGCATTTTAGTGGATCGATGAGGACGTAAGTTACATGAGCGTTGACGGTGCTATGGACAGCGTATGATGAGATGAGTCATCTACGGAACACAATCAGCCGGGCGGATCGTGGATAACGCTATGTCAGCAACGTGAGGTTTGAGCATCGATGAGTGCCACCATTGCCTAAGAGTCAAGGGCCAGTATGATAATGGCTAAAAGTGATAAGCCTATAGCGGCTTAAAAGAATACATAGCATAAGTTGGCCGCTCAGCGGCATTGTACGCATGGCGTACGATGGCGTTGCAAACAGAACGCATGTGGAAACATCCGCCACTACTGACATCGCACTTTAGACAAGCTAAGAAACGAGGTACAATAATCTGCTGATTACTGAAAGATGAATGCGAATGAATGAATGAATCTGAATGAAGAATGAATGAATATGACTAAGAATGAGTTGAGGTGATTGAGGATGACTAAGAATGATATTGTGTGAAGTGGATTATCCGCGCTACCGATCGATAGTAAGCTGAGTGATGGCATGTCTCCGCCATCGAAGGCACCTGGCTTATATTGGCTGCGGGAGGCCTGTGCGTACGCATCCGCGGCTAATCTGGTTTGTTGATCCTGGACAGCAGTAGACTGTACCTAACTACCTGAAACATGAAACGTCATTGGCTTCGTTGTTTCGCAAGGGAGTAGTAAACTGTTCCACTGTTACGCCTCCTCCTTAGGATAAGCTATCGTTGGTGTGTTACTGAAGTCAAACCTGAACCGCTATTGTGCCTGAAACACCGAACATAATTGACCGAGTAGATTACAAAAGTTACATTATTTGATGTGCGACTGCGAGGCGGCCATATATGAACATCAAATACTATTGTTTAGATCGATAGATAGAGAACTTTTCAAGAGAGAAGTTCTCTAAACTCATCTGCTTTACTGTTTACACTTTTCTACCTCTTCAGTTTAAAATCGTTACTTTGAGGTCATTTCGTCAGTTGTTTTACGAAAATGGGGATTTAAAGGATTCTACTGATTTTCAGGTGAAAGCCGTTGTGTCCATAGAAATGCTGCGAGCACCTCACCGTCGGATGTAAGTATTCCCTTAAACAGCAGTTGTTTCTTTTCTCAGTTCTCGTTTTAAAAGTTAATACTATGAGGCATAAACGATGAAATGTTCAGGGTTGATCAATCCCATAGAGATGTACCATAAATCCTACTCTTTTCGCAAATCCTGGGACAATGAGCACATATTTGACCAGAAATAGCCTAAGGTATCCTAGCAACTTATCAACTATACACTTTTAGTTTTCTGGGTATGTCTGATACGAATTTGCTAACTTCGAAAAGATAGGTAACAAAGTTTGCCCATTCCATAAGATTGAACCAACGATCATCACTCGAGCAAGGCGCTCTAATTTAGTGGGTACATAACGTTTGGCATTATTTTTTTTTTAGGTGTTTTGATAGCCTTTCCGTAAAGAAAATATTGCTGGTAATACTATCTAATGTGGGCTTTTAAAGATCACAAAATATTTGAATCTTCAAGAGAAGAAAATACGGTCTTTCACTCTTTTCAGTTTTATCGCTGGAAAGCAAATGCTATCCTCGTCGACTTCACTAAATGCAAAGGAAATCGACTTGAACGATCCGAAGCAGTTAGCACTGCATAAGCTCTATCGTCCCGAGAGAGTCACACCTCGAGAACGAGGCTACGATCTTCTTAAGAATCCGAGACTTAACAAGGCAACGTTTGATTGCAATAATGGTTTTTGTAAAACTTTTAGTGCTTTCTAAGTGTAGCGGGAAAGCTCTATCCACTGAACTACACGAACTATGTTCAATGTTATTCTCTAAAATGACTCTTTGACAACCATTTCATGGACTGCTGAGTAGTCCTTTATGAGCATACGGTATACAAAAGTTGGTAACTTGGTTGTTTTAGGGCATGGCATTTTCTCTCTACGAACGTCACTACCTAGGCGTTCACGGTTTATTGCCGCCGGCATTTATGACTGAAGAACAGCAAGCATATCGGGTGATGAAGAAGCTTCGTGAACAACCTGACAACCTGTCTAAGTAAGCTAGTAATTCGTCCTCGTTTTTCACACAGCTAATATCTGCAATAATTACTTCTGATTTCATCACTTTAGCTCTTACCTTGCATACATATCGATCAATACTTATAATTATCATATGGTCAGTATGCGCTGTAAGGCTTCTCATCGTCATTATCAAGCATATTATAATTTCTGTGAAACAGGGCGACATTTTTAAGATCTAGTTTTAAAGATTGATTTTAGCAATTTTCGCCTTCCAAAAAGAAACATTCCTAAATCCTTTCTAATTTTCAGAGGAAAAAACTGCAGAAATCCAGCAATTTTTTGATTAAAGTTGCTTTGCAATTCATGAGCAAACAAAACACTTCCGTTATTCGTACATTATATTAAAGAAACTATCGAGAAATTAACTGTTTAATAAATCGAAAACCATAGGAATTTACTGTTAGAGTTCTGTAGAAGATCTACTCATGCTAGTGCATCAGCAGCGCTTGGCACCGTGTTAGACCACTCGGGTGTGGAATATAGCGACTCAAATTTAGGCTTCTGAAAGATTTAAATGGTATCTGTATGAGTTAAGTTTATTAGGAATTCATAATGAAAACCATGGTGTAACTATCTTTCGAAGAATTAAATAGGAAAGTTTCTCAGGGAATGCCAACAAAGCTCAGTGTTAGCTCAGCTCATGCCAACAAAGGTCAGTGTTAGCAATATATAAGTCGTTAACATAGAATAATTCCGAAGGTTTTTTGGTGGATGTCGTTTGACTCGAATTCACAATTAATTTATTGACAAAGTGGTAAATATTTTACAAATGGACATTTCTAGTCAGTCAACGACTAAAGCGGGTGAAAAGAAGCACTGCTTATGGGCTTTGTAGAATTCGAAGACTAACGCAGTTTTTTTCCTGCATGGTCGCAAATACCACCATTCCGAAAATCAGAATACTGGATATCCTTACTGGTGCATCGGAAGAAAGGTGTGGTGCAATGTACAAATGGTCTTTGCCTAGATCTCACGCCTCAGGCTAGCCAAGCCCTCCATCCCTCGATGGTTAGCAGGTTGTTGCAGGGCATTTCTAAGAGGATGGGAACACTGATTTAGCCCATTTGTAGGACCCTGTAAGCCATTGAATGGACCAAATATGCATTCAGTCTTCTCTAAGACGCAACGAGTTGGATCAAAACGGTGCACCCTTAAGGGATGAATCAACGCCAAGCCCTTTTTACTTTGTCGCTTTACAAATTAGGTTTTTCACACTGTTGCTTTATTATTTGCTATTGAAAAAGTAATGGGCTCGCATACTGCAGCGATTAGAGACTGCCAAAGTGCATTTTCTGAATACCTGACTCTCACGTGGCTCACAAAGTGGGTCCTCCATTCTTCCAGTATCAATTAAAATGGTCGTAGAAATGCTTGAGGGGGTAGAAAACCGACCTGATGCAACGGTAAGATATGACAAGTAAGTGTATAGTTAAATGTGCATTCAATTAACTCTACAATTCTACGTATAGAGCTGGTTGGTCAGTTTGGAGGATTTGCCACCGTCGAACGCTTCATGGTCGATTTATTGTGATGCGATACTTAGTTGTTTGTCCAAAGTCGCGTTTGAACACCGTTGATTTTCTTTGCGTATGAATTTCAGTAAACATTAGATAGTAATTTCAAGATGGATGAAGCTGTTGGATATGGATAGCTGGGACTGTTGGCTTTTCTAGGTACTTCTCTACAAGTTTTGGTTTTTTAAAGGTTTATTTGCTTTGCTACCATAGTTCAGTTATGTGTTGTTATTCGTTGTTAATATAACGTTTTGTCAAAATGTCCAGTAGAAGGTGGTTCTTAGAATGCATGACAACCGCCAAATGTAATGGAGAAAGAGTTGCACGAAGACAACGTGCGGGTCTTCTTGAGTTGGAGTAGGAATGTGCATTTGAGTTAGCCACGCGGGTCTTTTAAATGTTATAGTGATCGATCAGCCTCAAACTTGGTTAAGAATTGGTGGACCAGTCCACCAAGCATGATTAAGTAATTGTTTCTGGCTTAATCCGCAAGTTGCACAGTCTGCGGGGTTATCTTTAGATGAGATGTGGAAGAAATAAATTCGGTGTCCGTTTTCTTCTAGGTGTGTGATCTTCACTATCTCTATTAGTCTATTGAATATTCTTGTTCCAAAGTTATTCAACAGCCTATGTTTGATCCAATTTAACACGATTTCCGAATCTGAGAAGATGAAAACGCCATCTATCCTGGCTGTTTTCCGTAGCTGCGATAGGGCAACGTTAGTTGTACGCAGAGCTAATGTTGCTGCATCTAGTTCCATTTTTGGAATAGTTGAGCCGGACCTTACAGAGGCAAATTTTCTTTTTGCCATGAGTAGATTGACAGCGGTGTCTGAATGTAGTACACGCAAGTGGATATGGCGCAGTTGCTGGCATCAACGAAAGTTGCCGAAGTATACTTTATGCTCTTTGTGCCTAAACAGCGCGGCAGAGTCGTTTCAAAACCATGCATTTCTGATGCAGTATCTCTGATGCGATACCCACTCGTCTTCACGAGGCTGCGGTGGGAGGCTAACCCAGTTGTACTCGTCCTTGCACAATTCACGAAGGAATACTTCTGATCTATGTAGTAGAGGCCGTAACCATACTAACGGGTCGTCTATTGAGACAATGATACTGGCTATTGTTCTCTTGGTAAACCCTTGATTGTTGTTTGAGATTACCACCGATCGTAATGAAGTTGGTCGATGGACTTCATGGTGCGGATGTATTTCTCAGGACCGCAGGTGTCTATGGCGGGGAACGAATGCGCTGTTACCCTTTCTGTGGACTAACGCGTTCACCACCACACCATGAGGGTCCTTCGTTTCGCCTGTCTCTCAGCTAATTCTATCGATCAGCGCCATCAGCAATCACCGGTAAACGGGACTGATCTATGGAACCGAAATCGGCAATGAACTCTGCTAAGCTGGGGCTGTAGTTGTATTTCACACAACACCCTAGCGTGAAAGCTGTAGTAGGCAGCAAATGAAGAAGTTAACATTGTGATTTCAACTACAGCTTCAGCTGAACTGGCTTCAGCGCCGATTTGAGCTTCCAAGATCAATCTCGTTGACTGGTGATTACTGATGGGATTGATAGAACTAGCTGAGAGATAAGCGAAAAGAAGAACCCGCATGGTATGGTGGTGAACGCGTTACTTTCCGGAAGGGACAATAGCGCGTTCGTTCTCCACAGCAGACACCTGCGGTCCGGAATTTTGCAAATATCTCAGCATCATTGAGGTTGTATTACACTAGGCAGTAAATAAAAAGTTAACATTCTGAATGCATTTCTACTAGAAATTTCTCAGTAAAGAGTAATTAGCGAAGTGAGTTAAAAGTTGAAGAGTATTTAAAAAGAGGAAGAAAAATGACTGAGGAACGTAGCTTGCTAATCGCCACTTTGGAGATATCGATCGACAACAAACCGAACACGAAATGCAGGTATATCCAACTGGATGAACTGCAAAACCGTACTGAGAAGCTCTTCTACCGTGTTCTTTGCGATAATGTCAAAGAACTGATGCCGATCGTTTACACACCAACCGTCGGTTTAGCGTGCCAGAAATTCGGTGCAATTTATCGTCATCCGAAGTGAGTTCATTAAGTGTTTTTACTCAGAGAAAATTTTTGAACACTAATGATTATTGTGCTCTGCGGCGTCACATATGGTCGTTGGTTCGATTCTAATTCCAAGGCTGAACTAATACGCTGTCATCTTCATAGATGGACAGCTTGCCACTAGACGTGTCTGTGAGAAAACACCGACATGATACATCGAAAGGCTTCCGCTGTTCATTAGGGGACAAGTGTAGAGTCATTTAGTTCTATGACACTACGAATGTAGTCGAATGCATGATAAATCTTTTGGGATTTAGTGAATGCCGAGCATTTTATGGCCTACTATTCTAGTTATTTGACAAATGGACACAAATTTTTTTACCTAGCGCTTTTAGGTGTGTTCTCTAAGATCGATTGCTTTTTAGAGGTCTTTATGTGACCGTGAACGACAACAGCATCAGTAAAATATATCAAATTCTCAGCAATTGGCCGGTTTCAAATGTTCAGGTGTGGAATATTACTCGTTCAATCAAATATTTAACTACTAATGATCCATTAACAATTTTTTTTTTATAATACATTCGCATACAGTGCCTGATCTTCAAGCGATTTTCATCGTATCCCATCGGTCTTTAGGCAATCGTTGTCACCGATGGGGAACGAATTCTCGGTCTAGGTGATCTTGGTTGCTATGGTATGGGTATCCCGGTTGGAAAATTGGCTCTCTATGTGGCGTTGGCAGGGATTCAACCGCAATGGTGCTTACCAGTTGTGATCGATGTCGGTACGGATAATCAGGTTTGTAGCCCTGGTTCTGCCGACTCCATAGATTACTGTAGCTTCGATCAATAAAGTTTTGATAATCTGACGAAGTGCAGTACGATTTAAGTTATTTAGAAGTTGCTTGACGATCCGTTTTATACCGGTTTACGTCGTCGACGAGTTCGAGGACCCGAGTATGAACTTCTTCTTGACAACTTCATAAAGGCCGTTACTAAACGGTAACTGTTGTTAAACAAAATTATTCTAATAATTTATTTTAAATATTCTAGTGATATTAAAACCAATCTACAACAATATAGGAAAGTTTTATGGAATTAGGGAAGAATTGTACTACTAGATGTCCCTATTTCTCTTCGCTTTGGGCGGATAGCACAGTGGTAGTGATGCCCGTCATTACGAACATGGTACTAGTTCGATTCCACTGCGCCAACCAATCCTCTCATCCCTCCGGGGTCGGGGAATTGGTACCGGAGTTGTTTGGGAAAAATCACTCTCTGCAATCCAGTTGGAAACGCTACAGCCCGGTATCTCACGACTCCGAAGGGAATCGACTCGATCAGCATTCTACGACATCCAAAATGACATGAAAATCCTCAAGCAGCAACTGAAGCCACACATAAAACTGGAAGATCTTCGTGAACAATGGATGCGAGGAAACGAATTGAATGTGGATCCGCACAGCAGATGTGAAGGCGGGTCAAATAAAAAAAATATGTTACGCTACCACACATCACATAAACCGTGAGCTCCCTAATAGAACTTCTTTCATTCGATTCCTTTTATTATGTCCGCAACCTTCGTAGTTTTTCGAACAGCATGAGTGTGGATGTTGTTCATTGGTTATGAAGTAGATTCTCCCTGAAGATCTGGGACAACGGTGTTAGAGCGATCCCATTTCATTGCTACAAGCAGTTTTCTATCGAGCACAGTGTATTCCGAACAAATTTGGAAGCTACTCTTTGACTCGATTTCGCTGAGAAAGAAAGTTTGTAGGCCCAGGTTATGGACGAACCCGGTCCCTTCACGTGCTGAACAGCATCTCTACTATGGGGCAGTCTGTTCCCTTGTAACTACATTGTTGTGGCTTGTTACAAGTTTCTTTTTGTTCTTTCACATTGGAAAACTATTCATTTATCACAATTTTAACTTATTATTTACTGCTTACTCTTTTTAACGGCAGGGTATAGATATAAATAAAATAACTATATAACTAACCTATAACTTTAGCGAAATTTAACTTTAATGATGCTGAGATATTTGCAAAACTCCGGACCGCAGGTGTCTGCGGTGGAGAACGAACGTGATATTGTCTTTTCCGGGAAGTAACGCGTTCACTACCACACCATGCGGGTCCTTCGTTTCACGTGTCTCTCAGCTAGTCCTATTGATCTTTTTCCATCAGCAGTCATTTTCGTTTCAATATTCATTTATCGATTAATAGTTTCAAATGATTCTTATGCTTATTTCCCACTCGAACATCATCGATCGTCTGTTTTTTAGAGTCTGATCTCTTTTTACAATCACTTTGTCTTGTTAAATACCTTAGAATATTTGGTGTAAAATTGCTTATGCATTAGGTTTGGGCGACATACATTGATTCAATTCGAGGATTTTGCTTTCGAGAATGCTTATATGTTGTTGGATCGTTACAAAAACGACTATTGTGTCTTCAATGACGACATTCAAGGTTAGTCATGCAAAAGTACTCTCGGTAGAAAACCCTGTGTAAAAACTTGCATGAATTTTCCGTTTCAAACGAATCGATTGTTTTAGTAGGTCATTGAAGGTCACCTGCTTTTTTGTAGGCACAGCATCAGTGGTTGTAGCCGGTTTATTGGCCACGACAAGGGTGACAGGACAAAAACTCTGCGACCAAAAACTAGTGTTTTTTGGGGCTGGAGAGGTAATTTTCATTGATTGCTTTCGATTGAAGCAAACTGTGAGAAGTGTTTGAAAACTAAGGAAAAACTGTTTTCTGGAAACTCCTAATCGGTCGGTCCAGGTAAGTCGGGTACGCTGAGATAAACAAGAGCTGCACTCGATTGTCTGTTCACGTGATATGATCATTGTGTGGTGGTCTTCTCCATTGAACCTAGTCGTAATAGGTGTAATCTTTTATAAGCATACCAAGATGGTTGCATATTCCGTCGTTACATGTTTTTTGGGCAACACCACCTCTTCTATAAGTTTGGTTTTCTTAAAATCGACAACTGTAGAGGTGAAAAGGCCAGTATGTGCATTCCAAGGTAGTTGTGATAAAGCGTTGTCTAGCACAGAGAGTTTGGCGTTTAGTACCTGGAGTAGCGATGGTTGCCTCGCGACAAGGGTGATGACAGCTCCAAGTCTTTCCGGCTTTAAATAGTTCAAAACCATTTACATAACGGGTAAAGTAGTAAAAGCTTTTGACTTTGATCAATCCCTTGGGGATGCGTCATAAATTCGACTCCATCCGTACCGTCGTGGAGGTGACTGAATAAATGTTTGGCCTACTGTAAAGTTCTCCTAGCTAACCGGTGTATCAAATCAGTTTTTTCATCTTCGCAAACGCCACCGGTCCCAGAATGGTGAAGGGCTTGGTAAGGCCACTGAGCAAGCTCTAACCTTAAGCTAAGTGTATGTGTTCTGAGGACACCTCTAAGTATTACGTTGCATAGATACTATACGACAAATATTCGCAGATAAGCAGTATACTAATCAGTGCGTCACGTGCCATCAAGGGTTTCAGAATTTTTCTTTCCGTTAAAATACTGTGCTAATAGATTCATAGAGAACGATTCGGCGATACTTTGGGAATGAAGCCTTTTCGCTATTATTCCATCTTTCTATCTTCTAGGCGGGTCTTGGTGTGGCTGAATTATGCGTAAGTCAAATGGTGGATGAAGGCCTCGATGAAACAGAAGCGTGTGACAAAATCTATATGATGGACATCAACGGTCTGATCACCAAGAGCCGTCATATGTCGCTGTCGGACCGACATGGAAGATTCGCTAAGGTGAAACTATTAAGGAAGCAAGAGTGAGAAGAATTCATAATTTTGGACATAGAAGAACATGTTCATAAAAACGATATGTGTTTTTAAAATTACTAGATGATTATGCGCAAGGAAATTGCAAAATTAAGCGAATGACGTTTAAGGACATGCCCGAAACGAAAAACCTTCGCGAAGTGGTGGGCACAGTAAAACCTCAAGCGCTTATAGGTGAGTTTTCGAGCTTGCACGTTTGTTTTTTTTTATTTATTTTATATGATCCGACTTCACGTCTACTGTGCGGATCGCAGCGCTCCTCACATTCGAATCGTTTCCTCGCTTCCACTATCCACGAGGATCTTCCAACTTTTTACATGTAGCTTCGATTGCTACTTGAGGGTTTTCATTTCATCTTGAATGTGGTAGAATACTGGTCGAGCAATTCTCCCTGGAGTGCTGAGAGAGCCGGACTAGAGCGCTCCCAATAGGATTGCAAGAGTGTTTTTTCCCAGATAAGTTTGCTACGATTTTCCCCACCCCTGAAGGAATGAGAAGCTTGGTGAGTCCGAAGCGGAATCAAGCGATTTAGCACCTAGCTTGGATGACGGACGTCACTACCACTGTGATATCCGCCCCATAAATTTGCATTTATTTTCCTATCTTAAAAAATCTCTGTTTTTTATGACTAGAAGTTTTTCTAAAACACTGGTACTGAACAGAGAAAAACCTACTGTGTTTTTAAAGCCACTAAGTACATGTGGCGTCAATGGATATAATGTTGCCATTATAAAGTTATGGAATTTTTAGAAAGGACGAAACAACGTGATTGAGTCAATAATCTGCTGTATCTTTTCTGCCTTTCTTTCTTTTTAAAAAATGTTGTGCACTTTTTCATCATTTTCAATGGCCTAGAAATTTTCCTTAATTCTTTTATCCTGGTGCACGCTGGGCGCTAGTTTGAGGTGGCCAGCAGAACACACTTGATCGCTATATCCATTTCGTTTTATTCATCACAGCCAAACCTTTCCGATGACAATAGATTGATAGCACATTTTCCTTACCTTCATATTTGGATAAGGATGCGTGTGGCGCAGTGATCGGAGGCGCCCTACAACACACACGTGGAATCGATCCTTGCGCCCATGGCCCACCAAGCCCTCCATCCCTCCGAGGCCGGCAAATTGGTATCAGACTTGTGTGGGAGGATAGCAGCACTGGCTGGATACATCGGTAGCCTACCGCGAGTCATTGTAAAGGCCAAATATGCATTAAATCACCTCCAAACGGTGCAGTCTCCCTAAGGGATTGATCAAGGCCGAGAGCTTTGTCCTTTTTATTCTTTTATACTAGGATATTTGGACGGTCTGTCAACACGAGTTGTGGGGACCTCAACATATTTGGCATTTGTTTCCTTCCCTCACAATTGTTGTCCATGGTGGTGGTTTCATTCGAGTATGGTGGTAGGTGCGGGTGTCATGCCGTGATCTGTAAAATAATAAAGCTTGCAGCTGCAAGTACACCTGAGCGACTTTAATTACGAACACATTTGCCCAAAGTTCGTTCTATCTAGTTCTGGTATCGTTCTAGGAAGCTCCTGTGTTCTTGTGGAGTTCATTCTACAGCAGTGTTGCTCCATCTGTCGTCTGTTCTTCTCACTATGTGACCAGCATATCTGTTTCGCTATCAAAGTGTGTTCTCCTGGGTCTCAAAGATGAGATAGATTTCGAAGGCCATAGCTTCGCATTCTGGCCAGATGTTATGTGTGCCAGTTATATTCAAGAAGATATCGTTCAAGCGCTTTGTGAGTACTGCGCAGTATAGTGTGCAGCATTGTTGACTTGGTTGAAGTATCAGTAGATCTCTCTGAAACATGAGAGAGCGCTGCGAGGACTGTTGAATTTAAGAGGTGAAGGCAGAATCTAGCCTCCTTTAGTTGGTCGGTGGCTTCTTTGAGAAGCTCAAATGCTGCCCAAGTTGTTTTCCTTCTTTTGTTACTTCTTTTACAGCAGTGGTTAGCAATGCCGTCGATCAGGGAACTGAGGAACCCTTGCTTTGACGCTCACCTCCAGTATACGTGGGAACGCCCTAGACCAGCTATCTCCAAAATTGAAAGTAGAATTGACTCGACCAGCATTCTAAGACATTCATGGATAGAAGACGAAATCCTCAAGCAACAGCCGAAACAACTCGCGAATTTTTTGGAGACCATTGTGGACACTTAATGCGAGGACAGCCAATCGAATGCAAGTGCTGGGATCCGCACAGTAGGCGTGATGACAGCCAATGTAAAAAGAAACGATAAAACGTTGATTTAAAAGTTGTGTTGTAGTTTCGATAACAGTTAGATAGAGTTCTTATGCAAGATGGTTTCACTCTTTAGTCGACGAGAGCTAATAGGATTGCATTAGTTTGGACCACGAAACGATTTTTCATAGTCGACACAAGTCAGCACTAGAAGCAGGTGGTATTTTCGGCAATCTTCAGAGCTCCAGTCATGGTTTGAATGTGTTCCGTGCAGCAAAATCTTTGTACAATTCCTGCCTCCTGCTTGCTTAACCGGTTACGCTTCACCCAATGTTCGTAATATGCGCGACAGGATAGTTTTCGTGAGGAGCTAGTAGAATACACTAAACAGGCACGTCGGACGATAGTCACGAAAATCCCTTCGGTCACCTTACTTGTGCAGGATGACCGTGCGCGATGCGCTCCATTGGTATTCCATTTTTTCTTTCTGAAGGTAGGATATCACGTGGCTTGAGAGTACGTGTAAATTGTGGCTTCCAGCTCTAGAGAAGTCGGCGGTGATATTATCGGGTCCTGTAGCTGTGCCTTTTTTCATGCTTTCTACTGGAACTCGAACCTCAGAGCGAAGAATTTCAAATGATTTTTCTGCAGTGTGGATTTTAAGGTCTGGGACGAGGATTGTTGAATGGAAAAGGTTGGGGTAGTATTTTTCCCGTTATCAGTTCCGTATCATGGCAAAGTATTGTGATAGTCCCATCTCCGCTCATGAGGCGGGTAGCGGAACATTATACTCGCAAAGTCCTCTACGCTACTCCTTCGAACTATTATACATTGTTTTTGGGGTTGCATGGAATAGTTTTCCTTTGCTCGTGCCATTGTAAAGCCCCCTGCAATGCTCTTTTCCAACTGCTGTTTATTACTAGCCGTGTGAAGTGTGTTGCCGTTGGATCAAACATCAATTTCCTACTCATTTAGATGAACTCAGCGTAAACGGAGATACGATCTGATCTTCTTGTTTGAAGAAGGGAGGCGAATTCGGCACATCTTCTAAGTCCTCCGACTATCAACTCGTAGTCCTCTGTCGGGTTTTACTTAATCTGCCAGTGATGTTTGGATAGGATTTCGTTCAGAATGTTTTCGTCGTATACAGCTAGCCTTTTTTCTTGTGCTGGATGGCGGGAATTCCTTTCCTAGTTGCGACTGAATCGAATCTTCGCGTGAAGGAGGCGGTAGTTGGAACCAGTGCAAAATGACGAGACTAACGATGTGTCAGGTAGGCACCATTTTCTTTTTGTGAGAATGCGGCCGATCACCGAATTGGTCGTGCCGTTAAGGAACTCTCGTGCCCAACGATGGCGTTTTTGCTTCTGGAAAAACGATTTCCATGGAGGAGGCGTGCTACAAATAGGTGTCCAGGAAGACGGTTACCGTTATCATTTCTTTCTCCTAATCCAAATGTTCCGACCTGTACTCTCTCATTCTGGCCTCCCGTATTCTGGGATTGAAGTATCCGACAAAAAATTTCTAGTAAGTTTTGTCATTACAACCAACATCCTCCATCTAATAGTAGAATTCATCTAATTCGTCGGCTGTCGGTCGGTGAGCAACAAATGACGGTAAATATCATTGTTGGTTGCTGACCGAGGACAGCCATTCAGTGGAAAAGACCTCGTATCTAAGAAGATGTACGCTGAACGAATGGGCAGCAAAGTTGACTCCATCGCCATTTCGTGACGGGATCTTTTCTACGCGACTGCAAAGGTCCCTTTCCTAGTTGGCTTATGTCAGTCTTCTTGCTTTTTGCTTCTTGTAACGCAATCGCATGCAATTTGGTGCGATCGGCGGCTTCAAGAAGGGCATGAAGATCGTCGTCTGAGGACAGTGTTCCGGTGTAATAGGTGAAAAATAAGCAATCTTCATGGCGTCATGGTTTTTCTAGACTTCGCTGATAGAAGAAGGATATAACTTGGTATACTGGTTCGTTTCGGTAGATCAATATATCGGCAGGATATTCAGTCACTTCTACAAAGATACGAATGGAGTCGAGTTCATGGTGTATATGTGAATAATTGACGAAAGGCAAATCTTTTCCATCTTTGATTCTTCACCCTTTATTGCTAGTGGACTTGGTGACAGACTTTCTCCTCGAAATATGAAATTGTCGTCAAATGCGTGCAGAAACTAGCAGAGCTTCGTACTGACATTCAGCGAGTATTGGACATGGCGTTTTCTGCCACCAGGCCTTCTAGTCAATGTGGAAGTTTTAGCTGTTGGTAGTGATTTGTTGTTAATATTCTAAGGACACATCTTATCCGTCAAACAAAGTCGAACAACTGGAATCTTCCTGTTATTTGCTCATAACATTCGTAAAACCGTAGCGAATAATGTGACATAAAAATTCTATCTGCTTTCTTAACCCTTTTATTTACTGCCTTTTTCTTTTTAATGGCAGGGTATGTTGCGAAATCCGGGACCCGGATGGTGTGGTGGTGAAGTGCGCTGCTCCCCGGTAAGAACAAGAGCGCGTGTTCGTTCACCACCGTATACACCTGCTGTCCGGAGTTTTGCAAATATCTCAGCATTATATACGAGTTCTATCTGCTTTGATTGAACTGGTTTGTTAAAAGCTGAAAGGATAAAGCTCTCGTCGTTGATCAATTTCTGTGGGAAGCGTCATGCATTCGACTTCATTAAGCATCGTTTGAGGGTGATTGAATGCATATCTGACCTTTACAATGACTCACGGTGGCCGACCTATGTATCGAGCCAGTGCTGCTATCCTCCCAGACAAGTCTGGTATGAATTTACCGACCCTGGAGGGATGGAAGGCTTGGTAGGCCATAGGAGCGGGGATCGATTCCACGTGTGTGCTACAGGGCACCTCCGACCACTGCGCCATACGCACTCTCATTGACTTGTTGATAAATCATTATTCTGAACAGTACAGTTGTCCTCTTAAAGTCGTTTAATAGTCTTGATATAATAAATTAGTTAAAAATTGTTTTTTTAAAACATAAGCGTTCCATTAAGCGAATCATCAAGAGAGAAATAGTTATCTTATATAGGAAAACGATGATCACTATTCGTATTTCATAATATTGCAATAGCTTAACTGGAATGTTTCATCAGTATCAGTACTTCAGGGGCATCTACCGTCCACGGAGCTTTTACTGAGGATATCATTCGCGAAATGACAAAGATCAACAAGCGACCGATTATTTTCGCATTATCGAATCCAACCGATAAAGCTGAATGCACAGCCGAAGAAGCCTATCGATATTCTAATGTCAGTTCATCATCAAACTCCTTTATTTTCATCATTATTTGCTAACTTATAGGATCTAAGGAAATTCAGTAAGGTTTCGAAAAACCACTACCCAGTGACATTTGCTAGTCAAAATACTCTAACACGTACGTGGTGTGGTACATTGACATAAATACAGAGTGGTTATTAGCCATTGGGTTCAGTCAGGTTTTTTCCCAACCGGCATGTCAGCAATGTTGTGGGTAACAACATCAGATCTCTTGTGGTCGTTTCTCTCATACATAATCTACAATGCGCTTCCACGTGTAGTGTTCCTGATGTGGTCGTAGATTCCGATTCGGAATAGAATTAATTACAGGCATGTTTGGAAGATTTCAGAAAACAACTAAAACTATTAATTTATTTCATTTTTTTGTCTTTCATTAGCATCCTTAACAGCCTGGTGTAAGTCACCAAGACAAGATTTCTGTAGAGCGTGAAATCATAATATCTATGGCCACTGTTGCTTAAACATAGCTCGAACGAGCGTCAGTAAACTATCTCTTTGTTCCTTCCGCACGTTATAACAATATCGAACAAAGTAGGTTATTTACTGGTGTAATGATCCTGGTATTTTTTTGCTGTGGATTAAACACTCTATCCTCCCTTGATTGCGCGTAGAGTAGTACTTACTTGGGTACTTGGATGACCCGTCTTCACTGGTTGTGCTTGTCTCGGCAGTCTACCCCAGGTCAATGCAACCACAGGTAGTTGCCGGCCACTCTAGTTTGGTACCAGGGCGGTGGCGGATCATGGTATTGGTTTGCTCTTAGCCAGGCTTCTTAGTGGAAACACCGGGAAAATGAATCTCGCTGTTGTATATCGCAGCCCGACACCCAGAAACACCTCCCAGCCTCGATGAGACGGTAAACCGGTGGGAGGGAGCGTAGAATAATTAGCCAGAAAGCTTTCACAGTCTAACAAAATGCTGTCATATAAAAAGATCAGGTTATACAAAGGATAAAAATATAAAACTTCCGGCTTTGATCTATCCTTCATCAATGCGACAGGAATTCCACCCTATTCGCAGTACTGTAGAATTTATTGGATGCATAGTAGATTTACATAATGTCTGACCTGGCCAGTGGATCACTTAACAGTTTTTTTTTAATCTCATATGACAAATCTGGTACGAAGTTTTAGATATCGGAGATCAGCTTGGGTTTGGATAGCACAGAGCGCGGATCGAACTCCTTGCCATATGTGCATTTCAGGGTAACACTAACCATTCCAGGAAATACGATTCTGAATTTCTGAGCTTTAAGGGCACGGTACTCTTCGCATCGGGTTCACCGTTTGAGGACGTTGAATACAATGGAAAAGTTTTCAAACCTGGTCAAGGGAATAACTCGTACATATTTCCGGGAGTTGCACTCAGTGCAATTGTGTTCAAAGCAAAGCACATACCAAACAAAGCTTTCTTACTTGCTGCTAGGGTAGGTTTCGATTTGGTGTATTTTTAGTGGTTGTGACAAAATGAGTGTTTTCTTTTAGCGTTGCGCTCAAAGTGTCACAAAGAAGTCGCTAGAAGAATATTCTCGATTATATCCACGACTTAAAGATATTCGAGAACTATCAGTACATATCGCAATCGATGTCAGTCCTCGTCGTTGCCTTTCTGTTCCGACTTTTATCTAAGCTATAAAAAATTGTAATCATTAAGTACAGTGTATCTACCACTCTTCTTTCTTTAGGTTGGAAAATATCTCTATGAAAACAACTTGGCTACGCTTCATCCACAGCCAGAAGATATGGTAATGATGATAAATGCTGGATATTGCTCTGCTTTAAAAATGTGTCTTAGAAACTCTTTTAAAAAATTGGTGACACCAGCCGGTCCTAGTGAAGTCCTCATTCCTTCTCAGGATGTTGCTGAGCTGTCCAGCGTGGTTCGCTCTTTCAAGGGATACGTACAGCATCGCACGTTTTTTATATGAGAGCTTTATTATTATTCTTATTACTAATCTCTTTAGTAAGACGGGTAGCTTACCAACCCAGGGTTTAGCGCACTTACAGGCAAACTTTCGTTTCTCCCAGAGTAGACGTGGTGGTGTTTCCAGCCTAGCAGGGACGAAATCTTTTTCGTTGAAACCAACTACGCTTCAGAATTAGTATATGATTACTTTTGAAAGGCCTGTGATTTCATTCCCCACTGTCTAAGAACGTGAAACCACGACCTTGCCACTAACCTGCATCAATTCCACCACATGGCACGATAGGCGGAAAGGAAGTGGCGGACTGAAAATTTTATTAGGCATCTATTTTAGACTAGCACATTGCTTGCTCCTGTTTTTGTGAATAGCTAGGTCTTTCAGGAAATGTACGTCCGTTCACAGTTATACTCCGTGGAGTACGATGAGCTCATCAATAAGACTTATGATTGGCCTCCACGGGACTGTAAGCACGGTTTCCCAGTGCCAGTACTTGATAGGACATCAATGGATGACGAATGAAATGGCATTGATGACTATAGAATTATAAGAAAATAGTTTGAGGCTCTAATCATACTAGTTTTAGTCTTTTCTATAGTGACAGTTACGACTTTGTACGATGTGATTTGTTGGGTGAGCAGGTCGAAACATTCAATACGCATGTCTGTTGCGTCGTTATTATTTGACATAGTGAGAGTAGAGCTGAGCATAGTAGAGCTTGATCAAGGGAATAAACTTGATATGTGAGGTTTTCCTTTGCCTTTGTGATATTGAAAAGCGAAGTTCGTAGTCTTTTCTCTCCTAGCATGATCTCTAATTGTTTTCCTTCCGTTTTTTTTTGAAAGATTTTATGTTTCTTTTTATGTCTCAGTGTGATTTATAAGATTCTTTGAAACGAGCTTCATTCAGATCTCTACACCTCTTTTTCAAGAATATTACTTCTTTTTTCTAAACGAGTTTTTTTTCACAAACGTATCTATGTTTCTCACGTAGTCACTGAACACCGGAATACTTTTATTGCTTTACCAACCTATGTCGTCATTTACAAGAATGTGGCTGAACCCTCAACGATAGTTAAAATAAATTGTAGAGCATCATTCAATGCTGTTTTTCGAAGCCATGAATATGAACCGAATAGAGCAGCAGAACTTGATGCTTCTGAGATATAGGAATCCGGGGAACCCAGGATGCTCGTGGATTAAGCCGCCAACTATTTATTACCTGAAAAGAACATATCCACTTATAACATTCAAATGTGTGGTTTTGCCCTTAACAATGTGTACATTTCGACCGCTAATGCACTTCATAATGTTCCACTTGTTAGAACGAAGTCAACAACAACAAAAAAATATTGCACCTTCCAACATTTTCTGTTGTAGATTTTCGAAGACATTAGCTTTTATGTTTCATGAGAATTCTCAACCCAGGAAATCTGCTCAAGTACCGATTCCAATAAACCCGTCGTTGGTATTAAATATTCAAAGAAGACCACATTACGAAATGAGGCTTCTTATGAGTTGCAGTACAACTTCACAGACCGAATGATCATAAAAGTTCCATAAGAGGATATCATCCGCCAGCATTGTTTAGGGCCGCTCTTGGTAACAACATGCAAAAACTTGAAAGAGAGATAATAGAAGAGTGAAAGCCGGTGTTTAGGTAAAGCACGTTATTTGCCAAATATACGGTTTTCATTACATAAAACAGAAGTCAGGCAGAACAAATCTATCATTTTCGACGATGTGCTTGAGTTGATATCTTTCCCGGTGTATCTGGACGAGGAAAAGTTCGTTAACCAACGGATTTGTTTGACATGCCTTAAATTCACTAGATACCTCTGAATGTTCTAGCTGTGTACATGTAGCTCGGAAAAGCATAAAGTATTCTAATGGATTTTCCGGTTCTTGCTACTTTAACGCACGCCTCAGAGATGCCAGTGCTAGCGAACGTGGTAGTGAGACGACGACGTTGCATTTGTTAGCACATAACAGAGAGAATGGTCCCGTATGCGCCAAAAATCAAATAGGCAAGTCATCAAATAGTTTAGGACCAATGCACGAGTGCCATCGTATACAGATTTGAGATGGACAGCATGCACTCCAGCAACATTATACCCAGCTTCTATTTACTGCCTATTCTTTCCTCATGGCAGGGTGTTATGTGAAATACAACCAGAATGTTCATTTTCTTTTATTTATTGCCTACTACAAATTCCAGGGCCGGGTTCTGTGTGAAATCGACCACAACGATGCTGCGATATTCGCGAAATGTGGACCCCTGGCCATATCGGACCACGATTTCTTTTTTCGGGGGCTCACACGTTACGCACTTCGCCACGGACGCCTTGTTCTGCGATTCACTCAGCTAGTTTTCTATCTACTAGTGCCATCAGCATCAAAATAGGGAAATCGTTGCTCAATCTGGTCAAGGATCCAAATTTTGTAAATATCTTAGCATCGTTGCTGTTAATTTCGCATACAGCCATAATGATGCTGAGATATTTTGGAAAACTTGGACCACAGGCTGAATTCAAACCTGTGACCACCCTTTCCAGGGACTCACGAGTTACCCACTGCATCACTAAAGCCCTTGTTTTGTTTTCTCCCAGCCAGTTATTTAGCCTAACGTTGCCACCGGCTAACCCAGCATCACCCTGTTAAGCTGAAGCTGCAGTAAGTATCACGTGAGAGCGTGGAAAGAGTTATCGAGGTATCGAATCTGGCCAGAGGTCCAAGTCTTGCGAATATCTTGGCATCGCTGTGGTTGTATTACACTATCAACATCATTTTGCAATTTAACAAGAAATCTTCACTAGAAATATGGTGCTTGCATGTTGTCTCTAATGAAACCGGAAGTGATAAAGTTCTGCAACGCTGCATGCACGAATGAACTGCATGGTAGCTAAATCAGTAGATGATAACTCGGAAAAGTTTCGTGATAGACATGATACGGTCACGAACCAGTGAGAAATTATCTCCTTTAATTTTCTGAAGTGTGTTTCACTTATGGTTCTTCCTACAACTTCGGTAGGTTATAACATCTTAAAATACTGATTTTGTGCAATAATACAAATATGCTTTGAGGGGCGCGTGTGGCGCAGTGGTTGGGGTCCCACTGCGACACACACGTGGAATGGATCCCTGAGCCCATGGTCCACCCCACCCCCCACTATTGCTGGAAGCCGACATGATCAGTTTTGCTCATCAATTTTTCTGTCGTTTGATACTCGTTGGAGAATTGATTGGAGCACAACTAAGCCGACATCACGAACATTTACGAACGGAATCTTTTATTTACAAATTACAAAGTTTTCTTCGTCTAAATATCTCGCATTGATCTGCTTTTCCTTTTTTCTAATACATGCAATCTGTTATCGATAAGGAAGTTTTTAAAGAAGTGTGAAAGAAATGAGTTCTGCAGTTGGTGTATTACTGGCTAACCAGATTACTCCTGTGCGGTCCTAGTTAGTCTCGTTATCAGGCTCTTATTGCGGAATCAGTAGCCGCAGGTAGTCGTTATGGAGTAGCCAGCCACATTGCTTTTCGCTTTCTGCCAGAACGGCCGTGGATGCTACCATTGTGATTGTAGTTTGAAATGTAGCACATCTCGGCCAAGACGATCCCTAGTGAGGGATGAGAGAAACTCCTAGTCGACACCTAGGAGTTCTAAACCATCTCAGCACGACATTTAGAGAGACGGAAAATAAATTAAAATGAAAAATTTTGCTCTTATTTTATGTAAAATACGAGAATTAAACGAAAAGTGAGCTCATGCCAAATGATCCACATTTTCAGCTACCATTGTATTTCGGACAACAGTGCACATGATGCAAAAAATCTTGTGAGCATTCGGTTATTTTTTTCTTTTGCTTCTCACAATCAATTTGTTCCTATAATTACCTGCTTATTCAAGAGTTTACACTTCAAGTCTTTCGTGCTTCCTACTATTCAAATCCATCAGGCTGTGTTCTAAAGTAAGGAAACCTAGAGTTACATTGTGGCATGGTAACCGTGTTTGTGCAAGCTACAAACAGCAGCTCACAATGGTAGTCTAGGCAAAGTTTGAGCGCTGCGCCACCTTTTTGCCCTCAAAGGCAGGTTTAAATAAAAATCTTAACAAGTTTTTGGTGTATTGTGGATAAGTGAATATGTGGACTAGCGAAATTCGATTGAAGATCAAGCTTAGTTTATGGGGCCCCCAAGACGGTAGACTATGGTGAAGGGTCGAGCTCAATATGAAAAAAAACCATAAACATTCGGTGTGCTGCTTTATTAAGGGTCAAGCTCAATGTAAGAAGACCCGTATTCTTCTCCACAACGTCAAAATACGCTGCACGACTCTACCAAGAAGATCTCTCAGATCCGAATGTATTAACCCTATACAAACTGTATCGTCAAGAACGAATCACGCCACGTGAGAAAGGATACGATTTGCTCCGCAATTCACGTATAAATAAGGTGCGCCTCACTAGACGTTTCATTTTTGTAGGAAATCTTGTCTAATTACTCATATGCATAATAAAACATGTTAGGGCTTGGCGTTCTCCCTTGAAGAACGGCATTATCTCGGTCTTCATGGTCTTCTTCCTCCAACGTTTATGAACGAGGAGCAACAAGTTTACCGGATCATGAGCCATTTTCGTCAACTACCTGACGACCTTTCAAAGTACGTTATTTCGTGATTGGACTGACTTTTATAAGATTCCATGACACTGCTTCATGCTATAGAGATATTGAAGCTAATAAACAGACGCATGTGCTTTGGCCCAGCAGTACGTTTTCCGCTCACAACATAAATAGAGTTAACACGAGGCAGTATGCTACATATCTCGTCATTATTTATTTCATTCGAATGAAGACGCGTTTATAGGATTGTAGTTAGAGGTGTCTTTGACACACAGAGTCACTGGTCGGATCAACCATCCAGGCAAACCACGTACACTAAATTATTGGTGTTGAATTGGTTCAGACCTGTCTGAGGTGAAATAGGAGGAGTGATGTGATATAGCCGTGGGCATCACATGTCATTGTATAGACGAGATATACATTCAGTCATCACTACGATGATATGAATGGAGTCGAATGCACACTGTACCTGTACCTAATAGGTCGATGCTCCATGCTTTATCTTTTTCTCTCTGAAATATGTGAGGGAGACCCGTAGAAAAGAATTTTTTTACTCTTGGTAGGTCAATTCGCTCAAATAAACTTTATCCTTCAAAATAATGCTACAAAAAATAACAGTACCATAATACAGCCACAATGGTGCTGAAATATTTGCGAAACTCCGGACCGCAGGTGTTTGCGGTGGTAAATGAGCACGGTGTTACCCTTTCCGAGACCTAAAGCGTCCACTACCACATCTGCGATCTAGGTCCGGACTTTCGCAAATATCTCAGCACCATTGTGGTTGTATTTAGCATAATACGCTGCCGTAAAAATTGTGGTAGGCAACATACAAAAAGTTATTAACGCTATAATATTTTTTAGGTACATTTTCTTGGATGAGCTTCACGGTCGGATAGAAAGGCTTTATTATCGTGTACTATGTGAGAACATCTCAGAACTAATGCCAATTGTATATACGCCCACTGTCGGTTTGGCATGCTTGAGGTTTGGCGCCATTTATCGTCGACCGAAGTGAGCGCTACTAGTATTATGAAACCATAAAGTCTATGAAACTGCCACATTTCAAACACTCTTTCAGGGGTATTTATATAACCATTAACGACAACAGTATAAGTAAAATTCATCAGATTTTGTGTAATTGGCCTGAACGCGATGTGAAGGTGAGCGTCCGCTAACGTTGAATGGATCGACTTTTACATCTTGATGATGATCACCACTTAAACTAAGCTGCATAACTTGCTTAATATCGCGCGATTTAAGCCTTCAATTAAAAGCACTAGTCACGTTTAGTTTTTCTTGACCCATATCATCGACTCTATACTCTCTTACTGTCGGTGGTAATTCTTGCTTTCTTTTAACTAAGTTTATCCGCAAGAGGACGATAGCACAGTAGTAGTGATATCCGATCATCATTGCGAGGAAACGAATGAAAAGTGGAAAATGCTAAGATCTCCGTGTTCTGATTATAATATTTTTGTCTAAACGTGTAAAAATGCTTAATTAACTAAGGTTTTACTGCCTTATGACGGCTGCAACAGAAATTCCAGGTCAAAAAATGGTTAGGCATTCTCTTAACATGAACTAGTTAATATTTTATGTCGGATAGAATCAGTTATACATAGGCTGTCGTTGTGACTGACGGGGAGCGAATTCTTGGCTTGGGCGATCTCGGTTGTTATGGAATGGGAATACCAGTAGGGAAACTGGCACTCTACGTTGCTTTGGCCGGAGTGCAACCACAATGGTGTCTGCCAGTTCTGATCGACGTCGGCACCAACAACGAGGTTAACTAGACTCAGCTTGATCGTAATTTACTGACGTACGTGAAAATTTATCTCTTTGTTTAAATAACAACAGACATTTAAATTACTGTAAATTAAATTTGAAAACAATGACACCCTGTGATGAGCAAAAAATCCTTAAAAGTTTAGAAACATATTGAAGATCCGCTCTACATTGGTCTTCGACGAAAACGGGTTCGTGGTGAAGAATATGACAGGCTTATTGACAACTTCATGAAGGCAGTTACGAAGCGGTAAATGTTTCTCAAGATTTTTCCAATTTGTTAGAAAATTTCGAAGACATGCAATGATATGCTATGGTATACATTCTGAAAGCAGCTTCTTTTTCTCGCCTTTTCAATTATCTGTAGATAATTGCAAAACTCCGGACTGCAGGTGTTTGCGGTGGGAAACGAAGGCGCTATTACCCATTCTGAGGGTAAAACGTTCACCACCAAACGATGTCGGTCCTTCGTTTCGCCTCTCTCAGCTTGTTCTATCGATCAGGCCATCAGCAATCACCTGTCAACTGGATTGATCTAGAAAGCCCAAACCGGGAACGAGCCCAGTTAAGCTGAGGCTGCAGTCTAAATCACAATGTTACCTTTTTATTTATTGCTTACATCTATATATCTTTATTATAAGAAATCCAAACCGCTTAGTAGTGAAGACCGGTGATGGCGTCCGCATGTGAACCCTAAGTGGATAAAAGTCGAACCTAACCTGACTTAGAAGTTGGTTTTAGAAGCATGTGAATTAAGGAGATGAGTAACAGATAAAAGGCTGCTCGTGTTAGTCCTCAATAAGTAAGCTGACAACTGCTCTTGAGAAGCTCAGCTACCTGTTAAACTCCTTCCCACGACAGCATCCATCGTGGTAACTCGTAGCCAAAAAAGAAAGGTAAACAACGCCTAACATGAAAACTATGGTGTTCTCCATGCCTTCGAGAAAACGGAACCCCTTAGAGCAGCTCTATCTCTGACAGAGATGAATTAAAATCTTTAATGCCACTCATCAGCAGAGTCATTTGGGTCAGTGGGGACAGTTGTGGTGCAAATAACTAAATCTTTCCAACTACTGAAAATGATGTTTTGGACAACGCCCGTTAAAAGTTTTGTAGGCATAATATAACATCTACAGTTGGGATTTGTAGAAAATTATGCCTCCTTGCTTAACTTGCAGGACGAGTACTTGTGGTGACCCGCTTTTTTTCGTGAGATATCATCAATTAAACTCATGGCAGAAGTTGTTGTCTAGAGTCTCATTTATTGGTATTGTCGATGGTAGTGATATGAAGCCGTATCGATCAGCCAGAGTAATCTATAATCTACTAAAGCAAAATTATTTTGTGCGTTGACCTCTACCATCCAAACTTGTAGCCTTATTCTGGAAACTAGGATAATGACGTTGTCGTAATCACCACCAACACTTAGTGTTCACAGCAAGTAGTGATTACTCAGTAGATTAAAAGCAACGGTGAAAAATTTTCTGCAAACCATAAAAGCGATGGGACGCACAGTTAATTACGCGTAAGGGCATTAAAAACTACCCGATGAGGAATAAAAATGTTGAAAAGTGGAAAGAGTTCAGTGAAGTTTTTGTTAAACCGAGGCTGTTCAGATTCGGAAACCAAACACTGATTCAGTTCGAGGACTTTGGTTTTGATAACGCTTTCAAACTTCTAGACAAGTACAGAGAGGACTATTGTGTTTTTAACGACGACATTCAGGGCAAGGATGATTTAACTATTATTTATGTTTATCGATTGCCATTCAAAATTTTCTACCTAAATATCAGGAACTTATTGTTCATATTAGTTGACTGTTGGTAGCGATAAAGAGCACACAAAAACAAGAAAGATCTCGTAAGTGCTTCGAACAATGTACTACATCCACTAATAAGTATGGTACAAGTGACTTCTTTCAACTTATTTTTCCTGTATATCCAACTCTTATTTTACTATGTTTCATCGGAGTCCTTAGGGTTTCACAGATTCCTTATTTTTGTAAAACGGCGATATCGAATCCTTGCGAAAGAATGACGTAGATGTGCCATAGAAATTCGATCAGTGTGTGTATTTTGCACATGCTTTATACACGTTAAGACGAAACCGATGAAGCCTCTCGATTTTGAATTCTAGGAACAGCTGCAGTTACTGTTGCTGGCTTACTGGCCACAACGAGGATTACTAAGAAGAAAATCGTTGAACAAACGTTCCTCTTCCACGGAGCGGGCTCGGTACGCAGACACCTTTTAGTTTGATGACGTCGACGAAATATTACGAACTTAAACCGTAACATCGGTAGAAGATTGTTTCGTGCTGAATAAGCCATATTCTTCGTATTTTTGTTGAGCAAACGCGAGGTGTTATTATTCTTTATTCACGAATAAGCTGACGTTTCGGCGGATTTCGCCTTCCTCAGAGCCTGGAAAGGTCAGTTGACAGCAATCTGTTCGGCCAAACACCTCTATAACCAAACAGAGAAAACAGTGATAGTGATAGTGATAGTGAGTGTTAGTGATAAGGGTGGAGAGTTTGTCTTAATTCCTCATCAGTTAGATGTGGAGATAACGAAAAAACATCTTGAGGATGCTTCGCTTTATCGCCCATCATCTGAGAAGGAATTTAAAAGTAAATACCGAAAATTGAACCACGAATGGGCCAAAATGGCAAGGGCTGCTGGTTTAAAACCATCACTTATCTCTCAACTTAAAGTTGACTTACCAACATGCCCCGTCTTGTACTTATAAAAACTCATAAGTTAGTATCCAGCGATGATCTTGCGTCTACCGATCCATCACTATTTAAGGTTAGACCTATCATTAGCTGCGTAGACGAGCCAACGGACAGGATAACATGGTTTTTAACCCTAATATTTAACCAGTTGTTGAAACACATTCCAGCCCATCTTACGAATACCCAGATGTTTCGGGATCGTCTACGTACTGCGCAGCCCAACAGCGCGTGCGTGATGGAGTCCTTCGACGTCACTGCTCTTTATACAAACGTGTCGAATGGCTCCGCAATGCAAGCCATATTCGAACTCCTTACACAACACGAAGGAGAAATAAACATGTATGGCTTCAAGATAGAGCACTTGATGGCACTCTTAAAAGAATGCTTGAGCTGCTCAATCTTCAGATGGTCCGGAAAGTACTACGCTCAAATAAGAGGGTTGGCAATGGGACAACGACTGGCTCCAAGCCTTGCCATTGCATTTATGTCTAAGGTGGAAGCACCGGTGACTGATCTCGGGCCGCTACTCTACTGTAGGTATGTAGACGACTGCTTTGTCCTTTGCTCAACACAAGAGGAAATGGATAAATGTTTCGAATTGTTAAACGCACAGCCAGAGTATATCAAGTTCACCCGAAAGAAACCGAAAGAAAGATGGCTTCCATTTCTGAATGTCCAAGTTAACCTGTCAAAAAATGGCTAAATTACGAAGTGGTACCGAAAGCCAAGTAGTAAAAACATCTTGGTACATTACCTCTCTTCTCACTCCTCTCACACGAAAAGAGCGGTGGTAAGAAACATGTTTCGAACAGCAACCAACGTGTGCACGGGAAGAGAGCAGGGCGAGGAGCTCTGGAACTTAGCGCGGCAAATAGCCATTTCTAATGGCTACGAAACTGTAGCTCAGGAGAGGTGTAGAGGAGATCCTAGGCCTCCAAACGACAACTCTAGCGATAGAAGCGTCCCGTTTATCCTACCCTTCATCTCAAATGATATAAGTACAGCTATAAAACGCTGCTTAAGAAGGGCGGGTTTAGAGAATTCGGTAAGCGTAGTTGGAATACTACCGAGTAATCTTAAGCGCCAGCTAGTTCGTAACCGCCTATATGACCGTCTATGTGCAACTCGAAATTGCATAATTTGCTCCAGTGGTAGAGACGGTGATTGCATGAGCTCGGGTATAGTTTATCTGATCTCCTGTAAGACGTGCGGTGACGAATTCATTGGCGAAACGGGCAAACCCCTCTGTGTCCGCATAAAAGAACACCTGGTAGGCAACCGTAGACCAAATACCCCGCTAGGCACGCATAGGACCCAGAGACATAACGGGGAGGACTTTGAAGTATGTGTCACGATCCTTGCACGCGAATCAAGAACACAGGCGCGAAAAACTCTCGAGGCATTCTGGATTAATTACAGAAATCCAAAAATAAACCGCAGGAAAGAATGCCTCATTATCTCTCGTGATATAGGGCAGTATATAAGACTGCTATTCTGATGGGAGGGTCACATTATACTTCCATATGATTTCTGTGCGGTTGGTCTCTACGTGATATACTTAGTGGAAACCTCATAGAAAGCGGTGAGTGTGCAAAACTGTGTTCAGTGTGATTGAAATCTTGGTTTAGAGTTTCTTTGTTTGGTTATGGAGGCGTCTGGCCGAGTAGATTGCTATCAACTTCACCTTTCCAGGCTCTGAGGAAGGCGAAATCCGCCGAAACGTCAGCTTATTCGTGAATAAAGAAGAATAACATCTCGCGTTTGCTCAACAGAAATACGAAAAATTACTTGATCAATGGCGAGGTTAATAGAAAGTCGGTCGTGGGAGTTAAGCCATATTCGCCTTTCATCTACGGTAAAGTCGATCTTTCGACCTCCTGTGCCCAGTAACGGAGAGGCGACTAACCTCAACATCCTGACAAATTGATAACGATTTTATCGTGGAAGAAAGATTTTGAACAAGTGTAGATATGGCCACGAAATCACAAATCATCGTTTCATGTGAATGTGTCCTACTTCGTTCATGTTGATTAACTGCGGCCAATACATAGTTTTGCACCTAAAGTTTTGCGGCATGAAGCAGAGCAGTATATTCAGTAACGATTGTTATTCACCCTCCTAGTGGATAATGAATAGATTGGCTTACTGATAAGTTTATATGAAATTGTTCAACTCTCAACTGTCGTCCCACTGACCATCGAGTACCTCTAGCGCTATGGTGTACAAGAATAGTATAGTGGGTTTAAGTCGCCTTAGGGTGTCATTGAGCATCACATCTTTCTTCTATGGTTTCCGTAATAAACTCCGACTATCGGATCCGTTGTATTTCCCTTGTGCATGACATCCCGAGGAATTCAATCGCTAACGGCTCTTGTCCATCGGTTGTCATTTATACGCCTTGCATGCCCGGCCTACCTTATCCTCGGCAGTTTGCGTATACAACAGCATCTTTCATTTTGACCGTTGAGATAGAACGAAGCTGCGGATCCCTTCGCTCACTCGGTGATACCAAATACTCCTAGCATCGTGGTTTCAACTGCGCGGTGGATAATGCTGATTCATCTCACATCTTGCTTACCTAGCCCCTAAGTTTCTGACGCATACGTCACGGCAGGAACTATCATTGAGTCCAAAAGTGGGAATGGAGTCGGGTGCTGTTTGTTCTCTTAGCCACATCCTCGATGTTTTCCAAGGCTTTCCAAGGAGCTTGCTTCCTGTTGCTCCACTCTAGAGCTAAGACATTTATCATGTTCATTTTTCGACCCAGATAGACGGTGCTGGAGAATTCTGAGAGAGCCCCAACGTTTAGCATAAATGGGGCATATAAAAGCAATCCTTTCCTCACGAACATCGTTTTTGTAAAATTTGGTCGAAGACCAGACTTTTAAAGTGATTTTAGTGAAAGCCTTTATCAGAGTAGGCGAGTAGTCGTTCCATTTGGCTAATGGTAGGTGTTATAAGAACGACGCTGTCAGCAAAGCGAGATGGTGTGATTGCCTCTATCAACTTTCACTCCCATGATCTCCTATTCCAATGTTCGCATGGCGTTCTTGAACATAGCGGTAAATAATTTTCAGGAGATGGTATCGCATTACCTAACAACTCTTTCGACGTCTATGCTAATATCGTTGAAGAATACTGATGTTTTCGTTGTAAATTTTTGTACAGCTCACGAAGAATCTTTATGTACTGAGCAGGGACTCCCCTGAGTGTCCATGGCTGCTTCTATCTCAACTGAGTCAAAAGTTTTCTTTAAATCGATGAAAGTGAGAAACGGCGGTCTTTGGTACTCTTGAGATACTTCAATGAGTCTTGTTATCGTGTGGATGTGCTCCATCGTACCGAATCCTCTTCGCAATGCTAATTGTTCACACGGCTATTTTTCGTCCAGTGCTGTACCAAGCCTGTTTATTGATGCCTCGAGTGAAAGTTTGTAGGCTGAAAACAGCAAGCAGATTGGGCGGTGGTTGCCGTTGTCGTGGAGGTCACCTTTCTTGAACAATAGCGCGGTCTTGCTGGTCTTCCAATGAGTTAGGACCTTGCATTCAGACAGGTAACGTGTGAACAGCCGAGCCAGTGTGTTTACGAGGACTGGCAGAAGGTTCTTCAAGTGTTTTGATCTTGTCCTGTCTAGACAAGGTGTTGGTCCATCTTTCGTCGACGAAATACCATTTGCTATCTTGGAAGGGAGAACCTGTGGAACGACATAGCTGTCCTCCACCTCTTAGTATGGAGGCAGTAGGGCGTGACTACTTAAAAGATCCGAGGAGTAATCGTTGTTTTGTTATTGTAATTAGCGACGTTTTTCGGGCTTTGTGGATATTCTCTCCAGTATCTGTAACAGCGACCATAACTGCTATTCTTTTTTCCTTCCGTTCTTCTCGTATCACCTTTCCATATTAATTCGAAAGTTCGGGCGTCAGTCGGTGATTGGTTGTAACTGGCGCGATTTCAAGTTAGCGTAATAGCTAGAGTTTTTCTGGAGGCAGACGGCTTTTGGTGACTTTCGAACTTTCAGTTTTCATGGTGCTAACGTAAAAATGCTGAATGATCCTATCGTATCTCTCGTTGATGCTAACAATAGCAGTTGATGTTTTTCCCAAAAGCAGATTAATGGACTACCGGATTTTCCAGAAAAAATCCCAGTTTAAAGCAGATTTGGGTTTCCGTTTTTTGAACTGAACGGCTTTTTTTTATTTTGCGAGAAATGGAAATTTGCGTCAAGGAGGCGACGGTCTGATTCCGTGAAAACTTTGGAATGAGAGCAACTGTTGAGTAAAACCTTCGGTTTACTATGATGTGGTCTAATTCGTTATGGTACTCTCCACTGGAAGACTCTCACGTCCAGCGTTGAGGGTGGGGCTTCTGGTCGCCATGATAAACTCAGATAGCGGCTCACCCTGTTCGTTCCTTTCTAATCCATGGGTTTCAATGTGACGTTCTTCAGACATGCTTCTGGAACCAATTATAGCGTTGAAATTTCCAGTGATGATCTTAAAGATCGTATATTTCTCTTTGTAGAACTTCTTCAAGTCCATATAAAACGTTTCGACTTTTTTTTCGTCGTAGTTTGATGTCAGCACGTGAACGAGGAAGATTGTCAACGCCGTTATTGACCAGCATCTCTTCTAGCTTAAATGTCCAATTCAGGTTGGTATTTGTTGGAATTCGGCGATATTCATTGCCAAAGTCTTATTGACGAGGATGCCGACGCTACCGACTTCTCTACTACCGCATGCTCCGAGGAACTGCTCTTCTCGGTAGTCGGCGATGCTTTCTCGTCTTAGCCAGTCCGATGATGCTGTCCCTTATCCTTTGTGCCTGCATGACCAGGTCCTTAACAGACGATTCAAATGTAAGTACATTGTAGATACATTTCATCACCTTAGCCCTTTGAGATATAGACAGTTTAGAAGTGCCCTGAGATTTAGGCATTCTCCCCATACTTATTCCAGCCCACGTTGCCGGGTGCAGTGCTCTTTTTGGCGTCTGAGCAATGAGGCTCACTTGTCTCACTGTGTCGGCTAAGTTTTTAGAGGTAGCGCGTTCAAAGCAACGATGATTCGATTCGAGTGCCAACAATAGTTGGTTCCTAGGAGCTAGCCTTCGGGGGTGTATCATCGAGTCGAATAGGATAGAATAGAGTAGACTAGGTAACTGTGCGATCGACGGCTGCGAAGACTCACTTCGCAAGAGCAACTACTGTGAACTTTAGAGTTGAATCAACGCAGCTTTGAAAAATAAGATATTGTTGATATTTTAACTTAGCACACATTTGTAACAATATTTGTAAACATATCAGTAAACCGAGACATTCCAATATTTTATATAGTTGTTGAATAGGGAGAAATATTTTTCGACAAAATTGCCAACTCCTTCAACATTTCTTGTAGTTGTATAACACAGCTGCAGACCTCTTTATCTTTATAGTAACAATGGTTCACTCTTTTTGGTTCTCTCAGTTAGAGACCGCATTGAATTGTAGTGTTCATGATGTTAAGATTCACAGGAAAGGAATCTAATAGGTAAAAGTGGAGAAGACTTTTGGAGGCCTTATTACACAAGATATTAAGGCTGCTTTGGGAATCGCTGAATTGATGGTAAAGTACATGGTGATGGAAGAAGGTGCTACTAAAGAACAGGCCTGCGAGAAAATTTATATGAATGATATCGATGGTCTGCTGACGAAGACCCGACCCGAGAAGATGACGGAACGTCAGCAACAATTCGCAAAAGTAAACACTCAAACATGCATGCATTCCAACGTGTTATGGTAAAAATTTCAGCTCTGTGCAAAATATGATCATTGATTGTTTTGGTAAAATATTAGGTTCATCATTCAAACTGTCTCATGCATTTGTAGAGTTGAGGTCAGTAGAAGGTTTGCGTAGAGCTGCTGAAGAAGTTAATGCGATAGTATAACAATAACTGCAACAATGTCAGTTAGCAGTGGTATCTACGATTGCCACTATTCCTACCATGTCTCCTGAAATGTTGCGAGCTTAACGCCGGAAACATCGCGATTGTGTGATGTTCCAATAAATATTTTCTTCATGCAGGACATGCCGGCGCTCAAAAGCCTGGTGGAGATTATCAAGACCGTCAAACCGAATGGACTCATTGGTTAGTGCAAAAGCAGAAGTATTAACCGCTTTGTGATTCATAAGTTTGTGCACCAACATTGATTGACTGCTGATCACTTTCAGTTTTTTTCTATACGCGAATTTGCTCTACATACTAGGCGAAGTTTGTTTTGCATAATTTGCACTAACGGGAGAAGGGCACGTGTGGCGCAGTGGTCGGAGGCGCCCTACAACACACGCGTGGAATCGATTCCCATGCTCATGGCCCACCAAGCCTTCTATTCCTTCGGGGTCGGTAAAGTGGTACCAGATTTGTCTGGGAAGATAGCAGCACTGGCACGATACATCGGCAGGCTACCGGGTGTCATTGTAAAGGCCAGATATGCATTCAATCACCTCCAAAAAATGCCTAATGAAGTCGAATGCATGGCGCACCTCTCAGGAATTGATCAACACTGAGAGCTTTATCCTTTTTTATTTTTAATTTGCACTACGTATTCTGCTTATCTACTTTCACAAGATCACGTGCTTTCCATAAATCATCGTTGTATTCGAGCATACTTTAGTACACCCTCCGTTAGTTTCTATCAACCTCTCGCTTCGCAGGAGACTTTTCTCACTTGTTAACTACGACGTGTATCACACTTTCTATTTGAATATACCATAATGCTTTTGGCAAGATGGTGGCCATGGTTCCCTTGGCGATTCCTGCTAACTGGTCTGTGAAGTCAACGTAAACTCACGAATACCTTGTAAAGGCATTTTAGCACAGCTAACGGACAGCCAACGCTGTACTGAATAGTCAATTTACCGAGGGTTTTAGTCGAAGCCATGTGCAGGATATGTGTATTTCCTGCATATATGCAAAAATGCCAGTGAATATATGCATATGCATTGGTGCATAAGGAATATATAAATGGATTAACAAGTTAATGTTTTCTTCTTGAGTAGTCACGAGGTTGTTTATAACAGGATTTATTCGATACTGGCCGGCTGGCCGGTGTTTCGGCGCTTTCTCCTTCTTCAGAACTTGGAAAAATCAAATTGACATGTAGTCCACTTAGCCAAGCACTGTCATAACCTCTTAACCAGAAAAAATCAATACATAGATCTCATTCGTATAGTGAGCAGCTTCTTTTAAGCACACCGCATTTTGTTCTTTCCAAATCTTCCAGTTATTGTTGGAAATCAACCACAGATTTTTCATTAGTGATGATTGTCTCTGACTCAGGTCGGCTAGGCGGCCTAAGGTATTGGGCGAGGTCATTCATGATGACATGCATTAAATGGAAACAAAACGCGCCACCAACCACGCATAGCGCAGAACGACATAATGGAGAAGAATCTGAAGAAAAATGCTCAACCCTCATATAGCAATCTAAAACATCGGCATGCCAAGCTCTTGAAACGGTTTGAGTAAATCCAAAAAATTCAAGAATGGATCTCAACGAAGAGTGCTTCGTGATCAGCATGACCTTGTCCTCTATCAGATTGATTTTTTGACCTGAGTCAGACATATTCCTCACCCATGTAAGACTCTGAGCGGCTCGTCTCTAACTATAACTAGAGAGGAACGTGCTCCCTTTTGGTTGTCGTATTTAACCGCTTTATTCAGCAGCCATGTAAAACCTAACGGTGCTCAAGGCATTGTGACTGAAAAGGGTAATCGGTCTCTACTTGGAGACAATACAGAAAAGAAGAAAGCATTAAAAATAGGTTGTGATCCTTGCAGTGAAAAACGACGAAATCGGTGTGTTGTAGGTGTGTCGACACAAGGTGGTGCATTTACTGAAGAAATAATCAAGGAGATGAGCAAAATCAACGAGCGTCCGATTATTTTTCCACTTTCTAATCCAACTGAAAAAGCTGAATGTACATTCGAGCAAGCGGTTAAAGCCAGTGATGTATGTGTTAAAATTCAGGAGCAATTTTCGTAAAAACATTCTAGAGCTGATATCATAGGAAATGTTAAGCAGATTAGCTTTACATAGTGGTAGTAGGATTTGATAGATGAGATATAAATCGATCTCAGCGTTTGACACAAAAAATTATAAAATTTGGAAGCACTGTGGAGTTTTAGCTTTGCACCATAATAATCAGCGAACGTGTAGCGCAATGGTTAGAAGTGTCTCACAGTACACTTGTAGCTAATTCGCTTTGTGTCTTAGGCTGATCAAGCCCTTCGTCCTTCCGGGGTCAGCAAATTGCTGCATAGTTTCTTAGAAGGATTAAAGCACTAACATGATGTATTGACAGGCTATTGGAATTCACTGTATGGACTAAACAGACATATAATATAAATATGGTGCAGCTTTACGAGTCTACGATTGGAGGCAAATGAATGTCACATCAACCGAGTACTGATCACCGCCGAATGCATCACTTTCTGTCGTTTCGCGTGATGTGTGCGATAAAAATTCATCTATCTTTGAACAAAATGTAACGCAGCTATTCAAGTGCATTATGTCTAAGCCAAGAGCGAATAAAACCATAAAACATCTGGCATTTAATTAGCCCCTGAGAGATATGCTGTACATTCAACCTTGTCAAGCAGTTCAGAACGACCGATTTTATATTTACCTTAAACTACGACTCTTGGTGACCTGCCAATGCCATTCAATATTTTTACTACTACGGAGTCTTGAAAAATGGGGGACATGTCGAGCCATAAGCGTGGGATCGAACTAGTCACCGTTCCATTGTGCATTGTACAGCTCTAACCATCGCACCGGACACGTCCTATGTCTGAGAGAATGTTATTGTACAATAAAGCATTTGCTGCATTATGTAGTGCCATGCTGATTCCACGTTTATATTTTAATTTTTTAATTAAGGGCCGAGTGTTGTTCGCTTCTGGTTCACCTTTCCAGAAAGTTGAGTATAAAGGAAAAACTTTTAAACCAGGTCAAGGCAATAACTCGTACATCTTTCCCGGTGTTGGTTTAGCCGCTATTTTATGGAAAGCGAAAAAAATACCTGACAACGTGTTCATTATTGCTGCAAAGGTAGGTCGTCCTATTTTCAGTGATCGGAAATTCTGTGTAGTTTTGTATACTTCTTGTGAGGAGAATAATCGGAAATCACGGACAAGCACGATTTTTGAAATGGCAACAGTTGTTTATATACTTGCCAGTATGGAGAACAATAGAGTATCGTTATTTCCTGTGTCTGGCTTTCTTATGCGTCGCACACCTTGCCATAAGTGGCTTTGTACTCTCGAAAGTTAGAGAGCCTTGTTTGAGTGACGAAGTCGATCCCGCAAATGTTCAAACGCAAGCGGTCTCTTATTTCATTGCGTTTATCTTTTATTTGATTTGTGCTCATAATAAGACCAATTTTGAGGCATGCCTCAAACACATTTAGTATTTAGGCGTGTGCTTCTATGGTGACCGAAAAGTCTCTAGAAAAATTTGGTCGAATCTACCCGCTTCTTCAGGACGTCCCAGAATTATCGGTGAAAATCGCAATGGAAGTCAGTCGCTCTTCTTTCCGTCTCGAATATACAGTAGTAATAAAAATGAAACAAAGCCTAAAGTAATTGGAAGGATTAGAAGTTGTTATAGGCTTGCGATTATTTCTACAAGGAGAATTTAGCAACACTTCATCCGAGGCCGGAGAATTTGGTAAGTAGTTCATCAACTCTGAAAACTTATGGGTAAAAACTTGGAAACAGACTTGGAGCAATGGCTGTAGATAGAGAACTGAAGAATTGGACCAGTTCTGTCCAACACCGATCGGCAACGAACGGTACACCTCGTTCCCACACATGAAAACGAACAATATGCAAGCAGCGTTGACATCAAGTTAACTGCGAAGTTTCCTCATTCCTTGCCGTTGTTGCTTTTCATTATCTGTGTCGATTATGCTGAACTGGAGGCAGTTCACTTCACTTGATGACGATGAATATTTCAGGAAATGTATATACGCCATCAGATTTACTCAACAAGTAATGACGACGTCATCAACAAAGCTTACAAATGGCCGGAAAAGGACTCAAAGCAAGGTTATCACAATGTGCCTAAACTCCAGCGATGTTCATTAGACGATGAAGATTAGATTCAACCAATTCGTTTCAAGTCTTGTCCACATCTATCGTAAAAAGTAATATTTGTCACATATTTAAAACGATTGCGTTCGGATCCCTTGGCGTCTTTCGTTGGCGTCTTTTCGTGTGATTGTGCCTTGAAATAAATGTTGAGAAGATATTGATTCAATACGAATACTAAACTTAGTTCCCAAGATTGACTTCCTACTTTAGCCGGCACTGGTTTATAAATGCCCCGTTTTCTTCTTTACTTCCGTACAAAAAACACACACAACACTACAGTAGCTGACGTTTCGGCAGTATCGCCTTCTTCAGAGTCTGGAAGGGTAGGTCTAATCATATTCAATTTACTACGACTAACACTTCAGTAACATAAACAGTAAGATGAGAATCTGTATACTAATCACATGATCAACAGCATCTCGAAAACCCACCGTTTCTACGTGACTTCCACTGAGGAGGAACAGCTGATTATAGAGTCACATATGGTGGATGTCTGCACCACCCCACATCAAAATTCGATGCGAAAGCACCAGATGAGATCTTTCTTGGATTTGTCCAAAAAAACCTCAAGAAGTTTGTGCTCTAGCGCTTTAATATCCTTTATAAAAAATGTCTCCCGCATAATTTGTATCCTATGCATCCCTAGTGAACTGCTTTATCTTAGTTTTCGTTTGCCATCTAGGTGTTCTTTTATGCGGATACATAAAGGTCTGCCCGTTTGGCCATTTACTCATCTCCGCAAGTATTACAGGAGATCAGGTGTATTGTACCTGAACTCATGCAGTCACCGTCCCTACCGTAAGGGCAACTTACCCAACTTTGTATCGGGTGGTATTTCTACTATCGCAACCGATACCGCTTAATCCTGCTCCTCTTAAGCACCAAAATAGGATAAATGTTGACATGACTAAAATGTTGCACCTTTATCTCAACATCCAACTGGCGAGGAATAACTATGAACTCTCCCCTTTTATCTCTAACTGGTAGACAAATGGTCTTCGAAGTTACTAATTCTCCAATTTCTCGCATACCACATTTTTGTTCGGCTGTGAAATTAGAGATAAACCTTCTACTGCGATAGTGATTAACATCGTCCGAAAACATGCAGGATTTTACATCAATTTGCCTGTTAGGGTCCTGCTGTCTAAAGAACGCCCTAGGAAAAGGAGAGGCTGTTATTCTCGTTACCTCATGATTTTCATTTTAACTCGGTATTTTCTTTTTGGCCTGATAGCGGAGTCCATCATGAAGCTCATACAAACTGCATGCGAACCTACGCACGGTTACTTAAAAACAGGTTGTGACTGTGAAATACTTGGGCCCTATTTTATTAGTTAACGCGCGTTCACTTATACTATACTATATTATGCTCATGCCTCTAAATGCTAGAGTTACTTAAGAGCTGGATAATGGAATCACTGAAGAAACGAAATCATATGAAACCAGAATAAGCTGAGCATATTGTCAAGAGCAAATACGTATCAAGACATAAATACGGTACTACATAACCATCACAACGCCTAGCAGAAAAAGTGGGAGCGAGGAACCCACTGAGTGTTAATGGATCAAAAAAAGACGTGAGTCAAAAACTACTTATATCTTGGAGTTCAGGAAACTGGCATCAAATTTGTTGAGAGAAAATTTTCTCCGGTCCATAAATTCCTGCAACTGCTTCTTGTAAGGACTTTGGAACGCTTATAGAGAACTATCCAGAAAATAAATTCGACAAGTGTTTTCGTGAGAAATACAAAACAATGAGGTAGCTACCCAACCTATATGTAGAATTCCGGGACTCACAGAGGACGAACGAAAGAGGTTCTGGGTTTCGCGAAGTCATTCTATATGGTTGCGTGAATTTATATCAATCTGTATATATTCGTAATTTATCAATAAAAGAGGATAAAGCTCTCGGCGTTCATCAATCCCTGAGGGATGCGCCATGTATTCGACTTCATTAAGCATTGTTAGGAGGTTAATAAATGCGTATCTGCTCTTTACAATGACTCGGGATGCCCTGCCGATATATCGAGCCAATGCTGCTATCCTCCCAGACAAGTCTGCTACCAATTTGCCGACCCTGGAAGGATGGAAGCCTTGGTATGCCTGGAACGCGAGGGTCGATCCCATTTATATCGCAGAGAGCGCCTCCGAGCACTGCGTCACGCGCCCTCGTCGGTAATATATAATCAATCAATCGATATTTTATCAATATAATTTATATATTATGCTACTTTTTAAACTATTATCATAATCCCAATAGAAAGATAGCAACTACTTTTTATATTTGCACATTTGAACACCACTAACCAAAAGATGAGTTTAGTAAGTTCTACAAGATTTAGTGATTGTGGCAGGTAAAACCCACCACTGTAACAGTTTTTCTTAGCGTCGATCGAAACTCCTCACTTTTCTCGTGCTCTACTTCCAGCGATGGAAACATCAAAAGCAAATTATGCAATCTAGGCAAATTTGACAATTTTCGAAACCATTTAAATCTCATTACTTTAACCGCGCTCTTTGTGAGAATATCAAGAAATCACTATCCTTCCTGTTTATTCCGAGCTCTGGTTTGGCAAACTAAACACTTGGAGCGATCTATCGTCACTAAAAGTTGGTTAATTTAGGAGCATCGATCGTTTTACTTCTTGATATATTTATTTATATGGTCTTATAAACTGATCTTTTTGAGCTGATGCGAGGTTGGTATAGGTCTTCGTTGTCCCACAACAACAACAACAACAACAACAACAACAACAACAGTAACAACAAGGAAAATGTAAGAGCTTCAAAGCTTGGCGCTCCGTCCATATCTCACTGGCGAAAGAGTCTCCTTGCCTACGCTTGAATTCAATTCATTCATTTTGTAACAGTTCCCAGGATCGACTTTCTATTAACCTCGGAATTGGAATATGAATGTGTCGTTTTCTTGTTTAGCAATTGCGAGGTTTTTAAACAGCATACATTTACTTCCATAAAAAACACAATACAATACAACACTAGCTGACGTTTCGGCAGTATCGCCTTCTTCAGAGCCTGCAAGGATATTCTGGTGTACAATCTACTAGGCCAAACGCTTCAATAACACTTATAAAAAGACGAAAAAACTCTGTGGTAACTACATGATCAACAGCTTCTCGAAAACTCACCGCTTTTTATGTGACTTCCAATGAGGAAGTTTAGAACAGCTGATTATAGTCGCGTATGGTTGATGACTGCACCATCCCACATCAGAAATTGATACGAACATACGGGGTCAGGTCGCGTATAACCTCTGGGCATTCATCCCTGCTATTCATTGTAGGGTTTTTGGCATTTATCTAAAAAGCCTCAAAAAGTTTTCGCGCTGGCGTTTTAGTCGCCTGTGCAAGGATATTGACTTTTACTTCAAAATCTTCTCCGCTGTGCTTTTGTATCCTATGCGTGCCTAGTGGGGTACTTTGGCTTAGTTTTCGTTTGCCATCTAGGTGTGCTTTTATACGGATACACAAAGGTCTGCCCGTTCCGACAATATATTCATCTCCGCAATTGTTACACGAGATCAGATATATCGTACCTGAACTCATGCAATCACCGTCCCTGCCGTAAGGGCAAATTACGCAATTTGTTGTTTCACATAGACGGTCACACAGGCGGTTACGAACTAATTGACGACGTAGAGTAGCCGGTGGTATTTCAACTATCGCTACCGATTCCTCTAGACCTGCCCTTCTTAAGCGTCGTTTTATAGCTACACTTATTTCATCGTTTATAAAAGGCAACATAAACGGGATTTTCTTTCGGCAAGTGTTTCGCGTGGGCGCGCCGCTCTCCTTCTAAACTTATCTCGTGGGGTTAATATTTCGTAGCCATTGGGGATGGCTATTTGCCGAGTCAAGTCGCGCGACTCTTCCTTCAGTTTCCTGGTAGTGCACACAGACGTGGCCGTTCGAAACATGTTTCTCACAATCGCCCTCTTTGTGTGCGAAGAGTGGGAAGAAAGGAAATGAAAGAGGTTGTTCTTCTTACTTGGTTTTCTGTACCACTTTGCCATTTAGACATTATTCGATAAGTTCATTTGAACTTTAAGAAATCGAAGTCAAGTATTTGGAGGACTAACTTTGGAGGAAAATAGTTGGTGGGTCAATACTGACATGCAATTCCATTAGGTCTAATGGTAAAATGATCATACAGTGAAAGTATGAGAAACTGTTGAATAATTCACGCATCTCGGCTTTAAGAAATCACAGACAGACGAACTTTGTTAGGAGTCAAAGTAAGGTGGATAATGCACCAAGAAAATCTAGGCTCACCGTGATTGGGGGCATAGCAATACCTGAGAATGCGCGCTCGCTATTAGAATTGGGTCCAAGTTTAATGCACCATCACAGCCCATTTCCAAAACAACCTGCTTAAGATAGCATGCAACCTTTATGAGCTTCAAGATCGACTCTGCTATCAGGCTAAGCAAGAAACATCAAATAGAGATAAAAATCAAGAGGCGGCGACACTACCACAATCTCCTTTCCCAAAAACGTTCTTTAGCCAGCAGGACCCTAACGATGGAGTTGACATAAAATTCCGCGTGTTTTCGGACGGCGTTCTCAAGGCTCTTAATCACTACCGCGATAGAATGTTTATCTCTAACCTTGCAGCCGCACAAAAATATGGCATGCGTGAAATTAGAGAATTAATAAACTCGAAAACAATAAAATTGTCTGTTAGTGATAAGGGGGGAGAGTTCGTACTTATCCCTCGCCAGCTGGATGTTGAGATAACAGAGGAACATCTTAGTTAAGCTACTCTCTATCGCCCATCCTCTGAAAAGGAATATAAAAGTCAATACCGAAGGCTAAACAATCAATGAGTCAGTGTGGCAAAGGCTGCGGGTTTAAAAATCATCCGTTATTTCGCACTTTAAAATCGATAGACCAACATGTCCCGTCCTATACCTACTTATTAAAACACATAAGTTGGTATCACCTGATGATCATGCGTCAACCAATCCGTCACCATTTAAGGTTAGACCGAT